ATTTTTGCATGTTATCACTGTGCCCGTTTTTTGCTTTTATTCTTTGTTCCGCAAAGTGCGCTCTTTTAGTTTGTAGTGATGTGACAATATATATACAGCGAAGGAGAAGAAGAAAGAAAGTGAAGGAAGGGGAAGAAGACGGCGAGGGTTACAAAGGTGATAGCGCCGGCAGCTATAGCCGAGGTTGAGGGTTGACCGGGCGTTGACTCAGCGTTGACCAAGGCGTTGACCGGAGCTGCTGACCAAGATTTTGACCAAGCTGGAATTGGTGATATCTCGCTGAGCCCTTAGCCTATCCCCTTACCCTGTGGATGTGCAGTTACCCCACGGTACTTGCTGAGTTGTCTGTCTACTCTTTCTGCATTGAGTCTCTTCTGTCTTAGGTGCTAGGACTCTGTGGATGAAAGATAGGGCCTTGCTGCCAAACCTGCACGGGCTTAGTAGGACCAAAGCTCTACTCTGGCACTTGGAGACCTGGGCAAGAGCGGTGAGCGCTCGTTAAACAACTCGTCTAGCCCAATGACCGGTACTGTCCGGCAGGTCTACTGAGTTCAGTGTGGAGGGTCTGAACTCCGAGCTGTAGGCTGAAACGAAGGTCGTCTTTAAGTGTTGAGGCCTGGTTGAGCCACTCCCCTACCGGACCCAGAAGGCTGATGATCCGTGTCTGACGACTCGACTGTCCCGACGGATACGAACCCCTCCAAGGACCGGTACTGACCGGCGGGCTGCTCGGTGTGGCACAGGAGGCTGGACGGGCTGAGTTGTGGGCTGAAATCGCCAGAGGAACCAAGCTGATCGCGTTGTCCTGTCTGCGACGTTAAAGAATTCTTGCGAAGTTTGGGGGATCTTCTTAAATACCTCCTGATCAGCTCTTGGTTTTGTAGTGACAGCCTTAGTAGTCTTGGGTTAGTTGTGATCATCATTGACATGGTCTTATCCTGTGGTCCTTAGGGAGTCAGTCAGTAGGTTAGAGTGTCCGGGTAGGTCTACGTGGTGAGGAGTGGGACCTTTGTCGTGCACCAACACCACGATGGATGACTATCCGATGTATGGGCTACTTGTTGGGTTCTCCCTCTGGGGGACCCTTTGGCTTCTCCTCTTTCCTCTGGGCTTTTGGCCCACTTTCACGTGTAGAGTAGGGCCCACTCGTGGTGGGACTTCCACCAACCCCTACACGAAGGAAGAGGAGGAGAAGATGGCCGCCATTCTGCAGGAGAAGAAGGAGAAGRAGGAGGCCAAGAAGAAGGCCTTGAAGGAGGAGCAGCTGGCCAAACTGAAGAAGATAGAGGAAGAGATGGCCAAAGAGAAGGAGAGGATACAGAAAGAAGAAGAAGAGAAGTTGAAAGAGGTGGAAGAGGAAGAAGATGAAACGTCATTGTAGAGGAAGAGGGTGCAGTACAGTGGTAGTAGGGATGAAGAGATGGAGAAGCGAATCTCCGAGTGGGTCGCCAACTTATCCCTGGGCGAAGAAGAAGAGGTGGCRATGTATATCTCTAAAGATGATCAGGAAGCCGCTATGAGAGCTTGGGAAGCAGAAAAGGATGTTGTGAAGCGGCAGGCATTGGAAGACGAAAAGAGGATGGAGTGGAAGTTGGCAGTGATGAGGGA